TGACCAGCTGATTCACGAAAAAGTCCACTAAAGACCCAATTGAAGTCAGGCTTCTCCCTCTTTTGTCCCTTATGCAGCGTTGCCCTGTGGCTCTTACAGATCTGCCATGGCCCACACCAGAGGTGGCTGCATCTCAGCACCGGCAGGGAAACCCCTGTGTAGTGTTGAGTTTGGGCCTGTTTAAACAGCTTTCATATCCCATCATAGATTCAGGGTATGTCTTCACTATGAAATTAGGTCGATTTTATAGAAGTCGATTTTTAGAAAGCGATTTTATACAGTTTATTGTGTATGTCCACACTAAGCGCATTAAGTCGGTGGAGTGTGTCGTCACTACCGTGGCTAGCATCGACTTACAGAGCGGTGCACTGTGGGTAGCTATCCCACAGTTCCCGCAGTCTCCACCACCCATTGGAATTCTAGGTTAAGCTCCCAATGCCTGATGGGGCAAAAACATTGTCGCGGGTGGTTTTGGGTACATTTCGTCAGTTGCCCCTCCCTCCGTGAAAGCAACAATCGTTTCACGCCTTTTTTCCTGGGTTACCCATGCAGACGCCATACCACGGCAAGCATGGAGCCTGCTCAGCTCACCGTCATGCACTTTAAAAGCTCGCTGGTGCTGTTTGCTGACTAGGTCAGACCTCAGCGGAACCAACATTCCCACTGTTATTGCTGCTTTCTGTGTGCTCCATAATATCTGTAAGAGTGAGGGGGAGACATTTATGCAGGGGTGGGAGGTTGAGGCAAATCACCTGGTGTCCGATTTTGAGCAGCCAGACACCAGGGCAATTAGAAGAGCTCAGCAAGGCGTGCTGCATATCAGAGAGACTTTGAAAACCAGTTTCATGACTGGCCAGGCTTCAGTCTGACAGTTGTGTGTGTTTCTCCTTGATGCAAACCCTCCCCCTTTACTGATTTTAATTCCCTGTAAGCCAACAACCCTCCCCCCTTTGAAATAAAGTAGCTACTGTTTTGAAACCATGCATTCTTTCTTTATTAATTAAAAAAAATGAGATAACAGACAAGGTAGCCCAGGTGGGGTGGGGGAGGAGGGAAGGACAAGGCGACATTGCTTATTGTAGCCACACTAAAAATCAAACTGTTTGAATGACGGCCTTCTGTTGCTTGGGCCATCCTCTGGAGTGGAGTGGCTGGGTGCCTGGAGCCTTCCCCTTCCCCCCTCCCCCCACGTTCTTGGGCATCTGGGTGAGGAGGCTATGGAACATGGGGAGGAGGGTAGGCAGTTATACAGTGGATGCAGCGGGGGTCTGTTCACTTGTTGGCTTTCCTGCAGCTCCAACAGATGCTTCATCATGTCCGTTTGTTCCCCAAACAGACACTTCATCATGTCCGTTTGCTCCCCCATTAACCTCAGCATTGCGTCCTGCCTCCGCTTTTCATGCTCACTTAATTCTTTCCTGGCCTCTGCCACTGAATGCCTCCATGCATTAAACGGGAGGACTGCATGAGCTCAGAGTGTGTTTTTCTTGCCTTCTAATCTGCGATAACCTCAGGGATGGAGATGATAGGGGGAGTGTAGAAACATTCTACGCTCTACGATTCTGGGGGAACTGCATGGTCACCTGTGCTGCTGAGTTCGCCACACTGACCAAACAGGAAATGAAATTGAAAAGTTCCCGGGACTTTTCCTATGTGCCTGGCTAGTGCATCGGAGTGCAAAGTGCTGTTCAGAGCGGTCACAATGGAGCACTCTGGGATAGATCCCGGAGCCCAATACCGTCGATCTGAATCTGCACTACCCCAAATTCGACCCAGCAAAGTCGATTTAGCGCTACTCCCCTCACCGGGAAGGAGTAGAGAAGTCGATTTTAAGAGCCCTTTAGGTCAATGGAACGGGGTTGGTTGTGTGGACACTGTCACTTTTAAATCGACCTAATGCAGCTAAATTGAACCTAACCCCGTAGTGTAGACCAGGCCTCAGTTCTATCCCAGCAGGCCAATGATGCTAGCTCCAGATCAGCTTGTGTAAATTTCGCACTGATCAAGATTTCCCCACGACCAACCAACCCTTGCTGGCTAAGAATGGTAGGGAGA